TGGACCCTCACCGATTCACAATAAATATTTGTTGACAATTCCAGACATTTAATAAGCAGATTAAAGCCACAATTTTAAAGCAAAGAGACCTAGACACAAGCTTTTGCTCTATTATGGAATACATCACATCCAGCTGAGGACTCAGCCCAAAAATCCCGCTTTGCCACTCAGGAAAAGTGAAAACACATTCGAGACCAAGCAGAAACTTCCCATCTTTAACTGCACGTCCCGAACGCCCGAGAGGCCCACGACAAACAGACGTTTCCCATCGCCTTCAAGCAAGTCCCACAACGCAAATGCCCCTGGAAACAGACGGGAAGCAAACTCATCCCGCGGATTCATGCAGCTCGGATCGTTCACCAGGAGCACAACCAGCTTTGAGCAACACGGAAATGGAGCAGCAAATTCACTTTCTCCTCTTTCCGTGCCCTGGGAAGCGAGGGAGCGATTTTCCACGGTGAAGATGCCAATGAAACTCCAATGCTGGGCACCAGCTCCGTGAATTCCTCAGGCTTGGGCACACTCCACGTGGCTGAGCCAAAAGCCAGAAGCACAGAAACCACTTTGCTGGGGCTGTAGAGGATGATTTGAACCACGTGAACCATGTGAGGGACAGAAGGACGACCCAGAAGGGTGACTGGGATCGGCCAACAGCTCTGGGAAGGTTTGTGGTGTCCAGAGACTGGAAAAATTAACAAATCCAGCTAAAAATGAACGAGCTCAGCTGCTGTCAGTGACAGATGCCCATCAAGCAAATCCTCCTAGTTAATATTTTCATGGAATCATGGAATGGGCCTTAAAGTCCATCTCATTCCACTCCCTGCCATGGGCAGGGACACCTTCCACTAGCCCAGGTTGCTCCAACCTGGCCTTGGACACTTCCAGGGATCCAGGGGCAGCCACAGCTTCTCTGCCCAACCTGGGACAGGGCCTCCCCACTCTCCCAGCCAGGAATTCCTTCCCAATATCCCACCTATCCCTGCCCTCTGGCAGCGGGAAGCCAAAAGCTGGACATCTCACCTTCCATCCCACCTGCCCCCAGGGTTGGATCCGCTGGAACAGATTTCCTGGCTCAGTCAAAGCCGAGCAGACACAGAAATGACCCTTGGAAAACAGAACAAACATGGGTAAATCCCACATTTCCTTCTGTTCCCCCCATTTTTCTTTTCATCAGGGAGAAGTTCTCCCTCCCCACCGTTTGCCCCAGCACCCGGATCTTTCCAGAAAGGAAGGTTTTTCACTGGATACTCAGCATTTCACAGAAGCACTGCAGGAATATCTTAAAAATACTTTTCAACCTCCAGGTGCAATAAAAAAAATTTCGACCCTAAATATGTTTACGAGGACACCTTGACTGGGTTTTGTACAAAGCAAACACGACAACTTTTGATGCAAAACCGGGGGGTTTTTGTTCTCAGTCGTGGTGGGGCTTTTTTTACGACAGCAAATAAATATTGCACCAGGTAACAAGAAAACAATAAAACTCTAGGAATAAGCCCTAAAAATGACAATATCAAAGAGTGACGTGGGGTGCAAACCGTGTGTTAGTGCCCAGAAACCAGGCACTTTTGTGAGGCCTTTGAAGAGGTTTTTAACATCTTTTCCTGTAAGATCACAGTTCTCAATTTATAGAAAACAAATGTATAAACAGGCTGGAAGAGTCTTTGAGAAGAGCTGGGAAGAGAAAGAAGAAGTTCCCACGATAAGCAAACGGCAGAGCTCGTCGGACACGGCGACAGAAGGATTCCTACACTCAAATGTACAGTAGGTTTTAATTATATTGCAATAAAGAGCTATATATATGTGCATTTTTTCTGATTTACTAGATGGCTTCTTTAAATTCTAAGCCAAGTTGGGTTTTGGTGTTTTTTTTAAGGAAAAACCGTTTTGTTTTTTTTTTTTTAAAAAATAA